AAAGTATTCCGTTACGTTACTCAATGAGAGTAACATAACAGAATATGTTACAAAATACATTTTGGGGCATGTATTCTGTAATCTGTAGTGGAATACATTTTAAAAGTAACTTTCCCAACACTGACTAGAGCCAACATAGCGATACAATTAAATATATCAGTTCTGCTAATGGAAATACCAGTCTTCCTTGATTATAGTAGTCCTGACTCAAATGAAGAAGCAGGTAGTGAGGAAGCTGAGTGGGGTCTAAATAAAAGACACTCCAGTGGGAATCGTACAATCAACCAATTTGGGAGCTTAACCCATCAAGCAATTAAAGTCAGGTATCTTGGCCTTAATCTGCTTCAGTATTGAAGTACATGATGAATAGGTGCTCCTTTGATGCTGTGGTTATTTTTCACTGAACCCTCTTTGTTACCAAGAAGCTATGTTTCATACCTTCATCAGCTGCAAAGTTCTCCTCCTTCTTATACGTCTCTTCCTTCTCTTTCTGTTGTGTGTTCTCCTCCCGACCATTTGTCTGTCCATCCTGTGTGAGTTCTGTCATTTCCTCTCTCTCCTCCTCCACACCTGTGTCTGTCTCCTCCACTTCGTCTTCTACCTTGGCTCCTTCTGTTTTCTCTCCATCGCCCTCAGCCTCACTGCTTGCGTCACTCTCTGCACTAAAACCTTCATCTAGGGCTAGTTTCAGGGGGTGGGACTTCCTCTTAGAGGCAGGCCGTTCTGTTTCCTGTTCTTGTTCCTGCTCTGCCTCTGCTTCATCTAGACGGCGCTTTCTCGCTATTGGGCAACCCAGAATGCTTGTGATGGGGGAAAAGGAGAAGACAAGAAGAAAATGGAGAGAACAAAATTAAGAAAATCAAGCTGGGTTATAAGTGAAACAACAACCTAACACGTCTAACAGAACCACAGCAGAAGGAGGCAGGGTGTTTTTCTAACATGAAACAGGATGGAGCTGCTTTTTCCAGTATGAATCAACACGCCTGAGGGGGGCGCCATGCTAGCTGACTCAGATATCACAACCAATCTCAGCCAATTGAGTGGAACGTTTAATGAACAACTCGTATGGAGAGGCGGGCGGGCGATGCAGCAGAGGGTGAAATCCAATAAACTCCTTCTTACGCTCACCTGGGAGACGCTGAGGGAGTCTGAGGAACGATCTATAAACAAAGTGCATCTCAAAATTGCCTGCTGAACAAATACACATGTAAACAGATAGCTAATATCTGCCCCTCAATAAAGACGAGTCACAAGCCAGTGAGCTGCCCCGAGTCTCCCAGGATCTCCCAGGGCGAACGACACAGACGATGAATGGAGGGATGGGGAATGAGGCTGGAATAACACCTGAAGAAATCACATTTCACCACTGCCCACTGAAAGGTTTATTACTTAGGTTTAGATTTAGATGCTGTGGGAGTCTGGTATGTGACATAATGAATGTGCTCTATTTGCAATCTGATTCAGTAAGTATCTTTAAAAGTCATTCACATTGTCTCCATCTGCGATTTAAATAACAAAGAATCAAACTGGTGCTGAGGAACCCCAGAAGCTGTGCAGTTTACCATTTGGTTTTTCTATTTTTTCTATTTCTATCTTTATTTTACAAATAATCAGAAGGAATTATAAGGATAGCAATGAGTGGGAGAACTAGATTCATTTTATGACTGGGGGATGTAAAAGCAGGAAATGTGGACATGAAGCAGAAAAACGTATCCTCAATCAACTTCCCTCTAATCTGTGCTTTTTCTCTTGTCAAAAACACTTTTGTTGAACCTGATCTTGATTTCTTCTGATCTGAATGTAAACAACTAACTCTCTGCTACATTCTTTTCCATTAGCACTGCAAAAGAGGACCATTTGTCTCATGACTTGACTTCAGTAACATCATACTATTAACACTACAAAACTAAAAGATGTAGCTTACCTCAGCTTAACAAACGTCTAGCCTGGCTGTGTCCAAAGACACAAAACAGCGAGTAATGCCGAATAAAAGCACAAAGCAGATGATATGGGACAGAGAACAGAGAGGACAGACAAGACTGAGACAAAGGACAGAGAGACAGAGGGTGGGGTTTTAATCTGCCCTACCTTCTGTGTCGTGAGTATCTCCCACTGATATGGCCAGAGCCATTGCATCCAGGGGTGGGGCAGCTGGATGGGATGGATGGAGGTTAGAGATATGTTTAAGGCACGGGTGCATTTTAGTCCCTGTGCAGTAGCAATGATAAACACAAGCAGTAAATAAAAAAGAAAAGGTCAATTAAGACAAACAAAATAAAGTGAAGCACAGACATGCAATCTGAGCGCATGTGTCACACAAACGCACGTGTCCCCACTCTTCTACCAGACACACATAATGCATGAATGCAGGTGGCATCATGCAGGAGAAAACATAATATTCTCTGTCATACATCAACCCTGGCCTATATCCTGTTACTGTGAGAGATAAGGATCAGCCGAGGCCTGCTGTAATTTCCCCTGCTCTGCTCTCTTCACCAGTCATCATCATCAGTTCTCGCTCACTCTATTTTCTTTCTCTCTCTCTCCTTTGATTCAGGTTGCTATGACCCCTCAGGATGGCTCATTTCAATTCTCATTAACTTCCCCCAGCAATTGCCCTTTATTACTCCAATTATCCTTATTATTAATTTCACTTATTAAAAAATGCTGCATTTGCATTTTAAATCAGCCACTCTCTGGCCTCTTTTTTTTTCTTAATGCCAAAACCTCAAGTATTTTTTTGGAGTGCTGAGTAGAGATCAATGCTCAGAGGTGAAGTGTGACAAAATGAGAGAGGATGAAAAAATCATTTGGAAGGAGGGCAAGGAAGGGCAATGACTGGCTTTTGTGGACCCTGAAAGCTGGTCCCTGAGTGGGAAACTATGGAGAGGAGCTAAGGGCGGGAGAAAAAACTAAATAATAGCCCTTCACAGTCCTCTCTTCTTGTGCTGCATCCTTTGATCAGACTGCAAAAAGATTGTACACCTTTTTCATTGGATGTACTGTATGTGCTCATAGGCTGCAAGAAATCAATAGCAGCCTGTTGGAGGCACTGACCACAAACTGAGAAGTGCTGATAATGACTAATAGAAAAAGAATAATATACAGCGTCATCTAAAGACGCAGCGTTAGTGAGTGTATGAGTGCCAGGGTGGGGGAGATACGAGGTGGGGGTTTGGCGGGATATATAAAAGAACTTTATGAAAGGGATTTGCACAAAGATGAAGGTGTTTCCTTACCTCAGCTCTTGTCCTACAAGCTCAATAGGAACTGAAAGGGGGGGG